TATATACACATACAGTACATACAAGCTCCCAGGCTTCTGATTAATGAGTTTGAGAAATTGTGTAAAAATGTCTGATAAACTCAATGTTGAACTTTTGGGCCACAGTTAAAAAAGTCATACTTGATGCAGAAACACGGCTGTMGGTTGCCTAAAACACCCTGTGTTTTAGATGGTGGTGGCAGCATTATGCTATGTTGTTGCTTCTGCAGAAACTGGGGTTTCAATACAGCTGGATGGAAGGATTTTTCTCCAAAATACTTGTTTATTTTGGGGGAAAGAAATTAGACACCTGCTGAAACTGAAGCTGAAAAGCAGTATCAGTTTTTAAAATGTCAACGACCCCYTACAAATCAACAAAACACGCCTCACTATAAGAGAATAAAAGTTTTGGTGTGTCCGAGCACAAGTACATGCAGGACACRGCTACCCTACACTATGATAACACCACTGTGTTACAGACGGATGAAGACTCTCATGGTTGCAAATTCTAAAACACATTCAGAGAAAACACAACAAGTTCTGTCATACATTCAATTAAACACACCAGTCTGTTTTATTTTAGTTAGACTTCATTAATTTCTTACACTCTACTCTTCGTTGTTACAGTCACAGCTGTTGTCGTAGTGTCCAGGCTCCTGTCCTGTTTAAACCTGTTACTTTGACAATCAGCTGAGCAGAAAGCACTTGTTTAGGTGTGTACTGTTATTTTGTGTTACATCACAAACTTTGTTGATCAGATGGAGTGTGGTGTTTCGCAGTAGTTAGTCATGTCACATGAATGCTGCGTTGTTGTTGTGTTGTGTAGACATTGTGTAGTTGTGTGTTAGCGCTCTCAGGATGTGGTTCTCTCTCTCCAGCTGCTGGTTCTTCTCCTGCAGCTCTCTGATCTGCTCCCTCAGAAGCTCCACCTCCTCACGGACCGCCAGCATCAGGTGACTCTTAACCAGGTCCTGTGGACAGAGACAGGTGAAGGAGACACTTAGAAACATTTAGACACAGTCAGAGACACAACCAGATGGGGACATATGGAAACAAGTAGTAATAAGTGGGGACAGGTACAAAAATGTTGGGGACAACAACGGACAGGTTGAGACGGGTAGAACTGATTGGAAAAGAGGAAACAGGTAGAAACAAAATGGTAAGATACTTGCACTTTTACTCAAGTATCACTTRGTGGTACTTTTTATGACACTGCAAATGGGGACAGGTGGAGACGTGTGGACATCCATAAGACAAAGAATGGGCCTCATGCAAGAACCGTTCTTACGCACAGAT